CCCGAAATTAATTGTACTGATTTTTAGAGTTTGCTCTTATGTCAGTGTCGGGGGGTGAGGGTGGGTAGAAAAAGAACTATTGGTCATATCTCACTGTGAGTTGGAAGTCTCTCCTTTTAAGATGAAGAGTCACTATACTTTGCTTAGGCAGCCTAAGTAACAAGGACAGTAAACTTGCTACAATTTCTTAAAAATATCTATGTCTCTATCTAAAATATAATTTTATGAAGCATTTGTGTGCTTAGCTAACAAGATCCAGATTATCTGGTAGGTATTGTCCTCAAACAATCCCAGAAGTCAGAATGAGGTAATTAGCAATCCCATACTACTCTGAAAACATATTTTAAATTCACTTATCTTCCATGACACAAAAAGCCTTGCAGTTAAGGCAGTCAATATGGCTAACCAAGAAAAGAGACTGAAACATCACAACAAGTGATAAACAAAAAGCTATTAAGAGCTCCAAAATTTTTTAAAGATGCCCCTATTAATCTATATTAATACCAGCTACTACAGGTAAGCTTAGTACTCACATTACGTGAAGCAAAGCAATAGTTATAGAAAGTAAGAGGAAACTACATTCCTCTCTCCAGCACCGGAAGGTTATTGTGTTCTCATAATGAGGACAAAAAAAACCAAACCCCACAACACGAAGTAAACAACGCTGTCTAGCCAACAATGGCAAGGCTAAGTAAAATCACATCCCTAGGAGAATTCAGCTTAGTAACTAGACCATCATGAGAATGCACAATTCAAGGCAGCATGGTAAGGGGTTTGGTGGGGTTTTTTTATTTTTGATACCACCTCAAGCCATGCCAGAGCGTTCATCTAAGAGGCAGCAGTAACTTCAAACAATCACTTCCATGTTCCAATTTTCTAAACTGCACAATCTTTCAAACAAAAATAGTCTTTCTTTTATTGTTAAATTTTAAAATAGTACACATAATTTGAAGTTTGAGTAATACAATGGAGCAGGTCTGATTTGATCACAAATAATAATTTTAAGATACAGCTCTGGTTAACAAAGACTGCCAGTTACAAACCCGTAATACCTCTACCTATAGATTTTATAACATTTGTATGAATTCAATTCCCATTTCTGTAGATCTTCCAAGAGATTATGAAGGAAATGCTTTGTCAGTTTTACTAGGCAAGAACGAAGAAACAGGAAGACGCTTAAGTATAGGTGTAAGTTAAGTCATAGATCCCAGACTCATTAACAAAATACAGCAAGGTACTTCTGGTAGGTTATTTACTTACCTCCACTTGCTGATTCTTGCTCTTCCCCTTCAGGAAACGTAGCCTGGCTTGGTAAGCTATTCCTAGAACGAGTGACTGACTCTAAGTGTGAAGCCCTTCCCAACAGAGATAGCTCATCTAGCACCTCTCCTTCTTTGGCTTCCAAATCAGATTTTGAAGTGGTTAACTGTTTTATGTTACCTGGTGCCATTAAACTATTTGGGTCATTTAAACAAGCTACAGTACCACTGTCCAGGCTTAACACTCTGGCACGATTCTTGGCACTGTTTGTGCTAGAAGTCCGACGTGTAGATCGTTTTTTGCTAATTCCTTCAGAGCTTACATGGGTTTTGTGAGCATTTTCAGGGTCTGTGCCGCCACGTTCTTTAGAAACATATTTGGTCTTTAGAGCACTGTACTTTCCCTCAGGAGACTGGCATGAATGGGAGGTGGTGCTGGAAGAGCTATCACTGCTGAACTGGTGAGCTGACTGCATACTTGATGTCCTGCTCAAGTCACTTTGATCACTGGAGTCCTCATCGTGACAAAACACAGCACTGTGAGGTTTAGTACCAGATACACCTCGAAAGGAAACATATTCCCTGTGCCGACTTGAATCAAAACTACTAGCCCGCTTTTTTCCTGTCCTTCTCCGGCTAGACTTGTGGGTAGAGGCTGTTCGATGTATTAAACTAGAAGATTTTGGTCGAACATCTCCTTCTTTTTGTTTTCCACTCGTTTCTTTAGAAGCCCTTGAATCTAGTAAGACAGCTAGTTTCTCGCTCTGCTCATCTCTCTGTTCAGCAGCCTTCCCCGGTGGCCTGTCAGCTTGTGTAGTCAATTCATTGGCATGTGGGTTCTTATTGGCCTCTTCTGAAGCAGAGGCACCAAGACACTTCTGACTGTGCATCTCATCAGATGCATTAGAACCCTTTACCTCTTGAACACCACTGTTAGTGCTCACTTCCACAGCAGTCCGTTCGCTACTAGTCCTTTTGTCAGTAGAACTACTGTCATCCTCTGAGTCAACAGCACAGTCTTTTTTCTTACCATCCTTTTTTTCTTCCCTAGGAGACTCCTCCTCGTGCTCTGACAACACACTTTCTATATGCGTTGAGCTAGTGTGTTCACTTTTATAGCTACTGATGGTACTGTTAGTGTCACGATCAGTCCCACTGCAGTAGCTTTCTGTTGAACCACTGCTTCTAGTACTCAGGCTTCTCAGACTGTCCACGCTTTTGTCTGCTTTCAAGGATTTGCTCTTCCCACTCTTAGCCAATGGTTGAGGGCTGCTACTTTTCAGAATGTCATCTAATTGAAAAACTCCTGAAATGCAAGAGTTCTCAGCCAAGGACTCTCTGGATCCAGAAGGGGGCTTGGAAGCTTCTAACTCACTGACAGGATCTAGTCCTCGTCTTTGCTGATAGAGAGGGAAGTCATTTAGTGAAGCATCTGGAAAAGCGACAGCAGAACTAGAAGTCCTTGGTACACCTCGTGGTCTATGATCCTTCCTATAGGAGTGAGAATGCAGAGTTACAAGCGAAGCTACTTCTGTGTCACATGCACTGGTTTTAGACTGGTCCACAAGCTGGTTGTTCGAGAGGCACACTTTGTCACTGTTGTCTCTTGGCAAATCCTGTCCAGATGATAGTGAAGGTTGGATGGAGACAAACGAGTCATTCGACACCAGACGAAAAAGCTTCCGATCAGTTGCCAAATCTGTTTAAGTACATATTTAAGAATACTCATGTAGAATGTTCTTGTAAGTTATACAATCTGCTTTACAACTGCTTGTTTATATCAGATAAAGCAAATGAATTTGTCAGTTTATTTACAAGTACTACGTATCACATTACCATTTAAAAGACTTTCTAGCATCTGGGCAAACCTAACAGACTTTTTTTTTATAAGAAAGAAACCATCAACACCAGCTTAATCTTAGCAGCTAATAAAAGACAACACAATTCTGACAAGTCCCCAAGCTCCTCTATTGCTCATGTGTCTCAGACTTAATGTTTTTATGTATCCCAAAGTTTCTTAATTATAAAAGGGTACCTGCCTTTGTTTTATTTCCTACATGCAGTAAACTGTTTGTTTCACATAAACTTTAAAATTATTAAAGAAAACAAAATAAACCCCATTAACTTTGAAGTCACAAAAAACCCAGCAAAAATCACCTTTCTTACCAAGCTCACAGTTAGCAAGGATGTAGGCACTGGCACAGGTCTCTTGGTACTATAATGAAACTCCCTACGAAGTTACTGAGTTTTACTACCTCTAAAACTGGTGCTGTTAAAGCAAATCATGAGGATTTGCTGTTAGCTTTTGGTCAGAACAATTGTTTCCGTTATCCATCACAAGCAGTCTCCCATAAAAGCGTCCACCTGCAGGTAGTATTGAAAGTCAGGCTACTTTCCTCTTTGGTACTGTCACTAAAAATAAAGATCTGGAGGCCAGGTTAAGTTACTACAATTGCTAAATTTTTGTAGAGTGTATTTGCACACGTGTAACTTAAGAGACTTCACAAACAGTTCTGTTACTCAGCTGAAAGTAGTAGAACCCCGCTGCCTATTACAACAGCACGGCCACTTGTAATCCTCTATTTTAAACATACTTTCTGCACTGAATCACACAGTAAAGTCTGAAAGGAACCCATCAATCTGACTAGATTGGCCAAAGTGAACTATTGTATTCCCAGAGTTAACTTCCTGCTAATCACCAGGTACTTCAAAATCAGCAAACAAAAGATTTCCCTA